AGACGTGGTGTCACATCCTGTAATGGCATGTACAAATGGCATGAGGGCACACGTGCTGGGTCCAAGGATTTTCTTCGTTTTGTTGATGTCCCATATCTTCATTTTCTTAGTTCCTGATTGTACAGATTGGAAGAAAATGTCATTGGCGTCCAGATCAGAATGGAACAGCAACAACACAAGAAGATCCGTGTCCTCACCTATCAACACTGTAGCGATGTCACGGGCGCTCTCCACAGCTGTTTGCACGATTAATACATCGGCATCGCCTATCGCGTGAACTGTCCGGCATCCACTAAGTTCTAGTTTTTCGCTCAACATGTTTAGGAAGTTTTGTTTGTTTTCGGCATTGGCAAGGAAGAGTTCTTTCTTTGACCTGAAAGGCATGTTCTCTGTAAAGGCGACCTTTGCACCAATGGCTCCTCCTGTTCGTCGTACGTGGGTTATGTCCTTTGTAGACGGACCAGCCGAGTATCCATCGAACACTACTGTGGGATGATTGTAGTTTCGAATCACGTACTCCACGTACTTCTGACAAATATCGGAGAATATCGACCCTCTTGTCCAAGGAATGCGATGGAGCAGCGACCCGCCGTCAAGTACGAAATGTACTTGTGCACGTGGTGGCGTGGAATGACACTCACTCACCCAATCCCCATATGGCATCAGCGAGTGCTGGTTTCTGTGCAGGTCGTGGAAGTCCAGATGAATCGAACAAAGACGACGGGTAACTGCTCAGTTCATAGCCAAAGATATGGGAGGCGTCCTCATCAAGTCGGTTTGCTGCGGCAATAAGTCTTTGAAAAAGTAGCTGAGGGTCAACGTGGATTGTTTCACCGTCTACTTTAATTGTCGATTTGGTACTAAGGGTAACTGCCTGCTCACTTCTTTTAAAGACATGTTCCGCAACATTCCGACCTTCCATAGATTTCAAGATTTTGTTCCCGACGTCCCGAGCCTTGTCTGCATTTACCTTCAAATGTCAGGATGGGATGAGCACCGTGCCGTCTGGCTTCCTTGCTTACGAATTGTAGAGTCGAGTATATGCATGACATATCGCTGGGGTCCATGTCGATCATTGGCAGAAAGACAACTGACGATTTTCCCGGAAAATCGCCATCCTGTACCGCGTGCATCATCGCCGACCACCCATTATGGGACCGTAGAGTCCATGCGATTTTGGAAAGCAAGTCAAGTTTCCAGGTAGCGTCCTGCCTCGGAACCGCATGAATCTTCTCAAACACCAACGCTTCGAGTGGATTAGTGTGAAGTTTGAAGAAGTCTATGTTAATCTTCGCCAACGCAGTTACTTCATCCATTGTTACGGATATCCTCGGAACAGGTCGTTGGCGTGATACAGCTGGTGTGACACCAGCAATGATCCCCATTCCGTGGAAAGTGTTGTGGCCATCCAATGTCCTCAGGTTATGGTCAACATTGTCCGCAACGTACTGGATGGTGTGCTCCGGTGTGATTCCGTGGATATCAGTTCCCTGTGATGCAGCCGCACTGGTTTCAAACTTTTGTACCTCAGTATAGGATACACAAAAGCCAAGTCGATGCAATGTATCCACTAGGAATTTCGAGGCGAATTGATGATGCATTTGAATGCCAAGACCTAATTGGAGCGGGGCGATAAGGACTCTTGGACGTGTTGCTTGGACTATGGCCTGTCCAATTGATGCGATCTTAACCTGTGCGTCCAGGTCACAGAACAGCAACCGCAACAACATCTGTACACTAGCAGGAAGGTATTCAATGTTCTTTTCACCAGACGATATCTCTGACGATGATGGGTACACAACTTTCGAAGTATCCATAGACTTAATATCCCGTTTTATCAACTTCGCTGCTGTTTCGATAATACTTCTTTTTTCAGCCTCTGGGTCTTGATTCTGAGGTCGCTGATAAAAGTCACTAAGTATGTGAGATGCGGTAGCTTTAAACGTTATAATGTTGGGTTTTCCGTTTATTTCCGTGATGATAATGTCAGAGCCGAAATGTTTTACAAGTTTCCTCTTCATATGTGTTGGACTGTATGCCTCTTCTCCGCAACAGCCTTTCATGTGATCAACAAGGACTGCAATGGTGATCTGGTCTTCGGCATGCTCGCTTAGGAACTGTAGTACCCGTTGGAATCCGGACTCGTGAAGGTCGCTTGTTGGTCTTTCAGATGACTTGCGTCGTTTAGGTTTTTCGTTTGTGAAAAGCAACGGGATCTGGTAGTTGGTACGGAAGTTCACATTGCATAGCTGGTGGTAAACCGCATCGGCAGCGGGGAGATCACGAACGAACTCCAAACGTGCCTTTACTTCCTGTGCCCATTGGTCATTTTTCCGGTCATCAAAGGCTTGTACCAAAGTCTCCTGGAACCTCATTGTCCGCACGGCATAGACATCGATCCCTCTCTTCTTATCAGAGGTCTTTGCAGGCTTTCCACATAAAATGCATATGTCGCAGAATCGTGTTTGGTGGTCTGTATTGGTGGAGCGTAAAGAGCGATGGCAAGAAGGGTCGTCTGTATCCCTAGCTTCCAATAGCCCAGCATCCCGCTTTATAATGTTCGCATTGCAGTATATACGCCTACACTCTGTGTGCACCACATCGCCAGCAGATGTATTGACGTTGGAATTGTCACGTGCCTTGCTGGCTTTGTTGATACCATTGCTGCCTTTTTCTCGAAGGGTAACTGTAGATTCCCCGTCTCTGACAGGCACTTTGCAAATTGCACAGCGGCTCATATTTCCTGCAATAAAAACATCACCACCATTAGTGTCTGCGTGGTGGTAATGTGGAATGTATATCACATATATAGCAAATGAAACTAATAGAGGTAAAGAGAAAACGGTTACATTGGAAGTAAAATGTAATTATAAGAAACAAAAAGCAAAAAGAAAGGTGTAAAAATAAAATATAAAAATACACACCTACCACACCTTTGTTGGCAACACTGATAATTCTGGAAGTCCGAAGACCATAGACGTCTGGTTTACACGACGGTTACTTGTTTACATTTTCCACAAAATCATATCAAAAAGAACATAATAAAAATTATAATACAAAAGATATAAAAAACAAGATAATATAAATAAAACTAAATAAAACAGAAGTTGTATGATTATGAAACAAATAATAAAACACAATATTGATAATATGTTCTATTATACAGATTGCAGGTAAAAGCAGTTTGACAATATCGGATTGGGGATGGGCCATTTGATCGTATGTAGACCCCCAACCCCCCACCCCCCTATCCCCTTATCTATTTTTTTGGAATGATGGTGCTTGCAAACTTAAGTGGACAGGGAGATCTTTAGAGCTGGGTAAGTTCGGTCTATAATGGGTTTTTTAAGTAACGTATTCGCACTATTTTTTGGGAAAATGTCCTGTCTTCCATAAATAGTAAACAAAAACAAAAAACAAACCATTCCGTATCGTATTATATTGCTTTTGACGGTATCTCAAGCGTCTGTCCAATTAAATACCGTCAGGACCCTTATATATATATAATTCGTGGTGTCGAACTTGCAGCCCCCCCCCACGCTCCCATAAAAAGACTAAGTCAATAAGCGAATAAGCAATGTCATTTGTATGTGTTTAAATGTCACTTATAATTGCAATGACGTGTATACCTGCACAACAAACTGTTAAGTACATTTAATTACCATCTACATTATGTATGTCGTAGACCGGATCAAACCAGTGTGTACGGCAACTATAGGGTTCCATAGTTTTATTTTTCGTACGGAATATACACTGGTCCAGTCATTCAAAAAATAATTTTAATCAAATAACCGTTTCTACACGGTTAAAATTAAATCGAACTCTGGTATAATAATTGTTTTGAACCCTGACATCACTTAGTTTGGTAAAATTTCAGTGTTTATGAACCTGTTGTACGGCACGGTTTTACGATTCGGGACTCGAGCAGACAACACTTTCCAACCAAGTCAAACACGTACACTCAGCATACACAATAACATTTTTATATCATGTTACATGTATATATACAGTGTAAGTGATCATTATATTTCAATGTCTGTCACCACTCACCATATTTACAACAGCTTTCTGTCAAGTCGTCATAAATAAGTCTGCTCACAGAATATAAACAAACGTGCTTGCTGGTAGGATTTATCTCCCTTTGCACCTACGGCTACACATACGCGCAATATATTATCAACATATTTTTGCACACTTTAATCGGAAAATCCAATATGTTCCCCTATTTAGATTTTTCTAGACTTTTCGTATGTTTTAATTACATATATTCTGAGTGCAATCCAACAAGAATGGTCTTTGTTGGAATTAGGTGCGGGTCAAACCGTAGGCTGACTGGTCTAGTTCTGGAACACAATTTAAGAATAATTTGCCCTGCGTTCATATAAAATAATCTTGTCCTGGAAGAATAATTCAATTTTAGATAATATGTTATGTCACGGAATTAGATTAGATTGCTATCTTAGTCCGTGGTAATGTCAATTAAAATACTAAGAAACACTCGTGCATTATGCGGGCGATGGCCGTTTACTAACCAGTCGTCGCTATGATCACTGCTTCTTGCTAACAATATTTTGACTTAGCCTACTATTATAGAATAAATAGGCTCAAGTTAGGCGTATGTCTTCATTCAGAGACGTATAATACATTATGTATTATACGTCTCCAGGGGCGTTTCTAGGATATTTGAAAGATAATTTTTGGACCTTTTTTTGGTTAAAAAACATAAAATAGTTGTGAAATGCACTAATGTAACGGTTCCTGACTTGGAGCATGTATATTCTATAGTTAAAGTGTCAGGGTGTTTGCCATATTCAATACAATATTAGCAGATAAACGATATATATATTTTTTTTGGGGGGGGGGGGGGGGGGGGGCGTACGCCCATTACCCCCTCCCCTGGACCCGCCCCTGGTCTCTGCTTCATCTAAAGTAGAGGTATGCACAGTGCGGTCCCAACATTGCGGATGCTTCTTTTATTAGTAACAACCAAAAACACTTCCGGTATATGACGTCACGGCCGGGATCGCCATATTTAGGATTGGCGAAGTGACTAACTTACAAAGTACCCGAACGAAAGGATTTATAATCAACACAGGAGCAAACAATTGAACACGACTACATTTGGATACGTTAATTCCCTGTGGTAAGTTAAAGAGGCTATAACTTGTTTAAACTATATCAGAAATCAGAGATAAACTCGCAGATGTATCCGACCCTGGTCCCTGCCTACTGTGAGGCTGGAAAGGAGGTCACGGTTGTATTTCACTGCACACAAGAAAAACAAGCCTCTCGATGTTTTGAAAATATTGTTGATATTCTGTGTTGTCTATGAGTATTGAAAATATCTTATGGTAATCAATGGATTGATTAAAATGTCTTCTTGAAGATCTATTCACTATTATTGACGCCGCCGCGACCCCCCC